ATGGCTTCTGGCCATTGGGAATGTTGATCTACCAGACACAACATGTATTTATGTTTTCTAGCAGAAGGAGGCTCGATAGGTTCGATAACGTCAATGTTTACCACTTCAAAAAGATAATTCTGGTCTTCTGACGGGTGTGATGGGAATCTTTTCCGCTTGCTTTTCTGCACTCTTCAACTGACAATTTTTGCATGTTTTACAAAAGGTTTCGACAACTTGCACTAATCCAGGCTAAAAAAAATAAATAAATAAATAAATAAAAAATTTTAAAAAAATGAATATTGTATTCTCTCCTTTGTTTTCCTTATTCCAAGATGTGTACCGAAAATGGAACTATGTGCTAATTCAAACACTTGTGCTCTTCTACTAAGCAGAAGCACTAACTAAAAAACAGTCTGTCCTAATATTTTTTCTTGGTGATGTAAAAGATGATCAATAAATAAATAATTCTCTCTTTTTCACAGCTAGCTTCCATGCTTTTCTCAGAGTAGGACAGCTTGCTTGTTCTCGGCGCAGTTGTTCACGAAAAATCTGTGTTTATGTTACTGTGAAATACCGAAATCTGGAGAATGTCGACTTTCACTGGTGAATGTCAACATTCACATAGTTGATTGGTGTATGTCCGAAATATTTTCCAAATACTCTATTTCAGAGTTACACCGGTGAATGTCGACATTCACCATGTACTAATGGTGAATGTTGAACATATAAGAATATTATATTTTCTTCTCTGTCAATTCAGTCACGAAAAAACACATCTGAGACTTAAAATAAGAACTTAAGAATATAAGAACTTTAAACACACAGTACATTCAAAATGAGAAAGGAAATAAAATAACAGAAGTTAAAAGCTTACTAAATTATGTGATTCAAATCTTATTTATTGCAATGACTTAAACTATTATGACACTTTGAATTGCAAAAGAGGCCCTTGCTTTTACCACTGCATTTATTTGTAGAACACTTCTTTTTGCAATGACAGCGTGTACATATACTGCTCTCTTTTCGACCTACACCATAGGATATCTGTGATTGTCGACATACACTGGTGAGAGTCTGAATGTACAAGAATTTAATTCAATATTTGATCTTTCACCGACGTATTTGGTGAATAATGACATTCTCTGGTGAAAGTCGACATTCTCCAATTTCGGTCTTTCACGGTAACATTTACATAAGGCTCACCTTCTCCCCTTCCTTCATTGTGGTTTTCTCCTCAAAAAGCTTTGGCGAGGGTGATTCTATGTTCTCATTTGACTATGCTTCGGTAAACAAACATTTTTTCGTCTCTGTAATTATTTCTTTCTGTGTCTGATTCTTCTCCTGCTGAATTAATCAACAGTTCGTGTATGTCTGGAGTTACAAGACATGGCACATTTAGCTTATCAGTCACTGCAATTAATGTATCCACCAAATTAAATAAATTGCTTTCATGTTTCTTGTAACAAATAGGTACACGGCAAACTTTTGCTTCAATTGGTTTTCCAAAAGCAGGTGTTAGCAATATTTTACTTCCTCCTTTGTTTTCTAAATCTGCAATGAGCGATGAATGTATGATCATTATCTGCTTTCCAGAGTCTACAATAGCTTCGGTTTTCTCAGAGTTAATAAAAATATCTATTTTTTGCAGTGGTTGAGCAATGCGTTCTGTGTATTCGGATCGTAGATGGGATGAGTCTACTTTAGCTACAATGGGCTCTTTCTATTTGAATTTCTTGGAGTTTTGGAATATCCTTTCCCTTCTTACTTACTGTAGTATCGTTCTTTCTTCTTTTGTATGGGCAATATCTTGCGATGTGTTGATAGCTTCCACAAATATACATTCCACATTCTTTTCTTCTCACAGAATATCCTTCTGGTTTTGAAGATTCTTTTCTCATGTGTGGAGGAATATATTTAAGGTTTTTATTGCATAACTCCCAAAAATTGCATGTTTTTACCTCTTATGTCCTCAAAGGATTTATATGTCCTCCTTTTGCGATGAAATAAGTGTCACATTCCTTCCCCAGTTCTTCCAGGCGCAGCCAACTTTCACCTCCTCTAATTGCAACATGGCATGCTAAATTATTATCCAATGTTTGAAAAAGTTTGTCAGAAAAAAATTACGTTAATTAAGGACTCAAAATCTTTGATGTTTCTACTTTTACAATAATGCATCCAACCTGATCTTAAACAAGAAGCGAACTACAAATGACTTTCCACCATCAAACTTTTAGCTTGGCGAAAATTTTCTAAACGTATAATTGGCGATGGTTCATATTTCTTTAGGATTAAAGATTTAATTTATCCTTTAGGATTAAAGATTCATAGTCTTTCAAATCATCATCTTTAATACATACCAAAATATTAGAAGATTTATCACCTATCAGTTTAAGAAAAATTTCAGACTTAAACTCATTTGGTATCTGTACAGCTTTCAAAAGCTTATCTAATGAAATTGTAACTTCTACATTGTTACTAGCTTCATTGCTACTTTCGATTTGTGCCAAACGTAATTTCACAATTTCTTCTGACTTCTTCCTTTCTTCAACCATAGTATTAAGAAATTTAGTGACAAAATCTTTATCTTTCAAATATTCTTTAGAGCTTAAAAGCTTATCTTTTAATTCTATGACTTTTAAACTGGAATCAGCTTCTTCACAGAATTCTTTCAACACAAAAATCAAATCACTTTTGATTACTCCCTTAAACATATTCATCAGCAATCTTCTTCAAAATTATAACAAAGTTCCTTGCCTTTTCGGAATATCCAGACACCTTCGAACTGTCTTTCATATGTTAGGCTTAACGTTATGGCACATCCGTTTTCCAACGCTCTAACCTTATAAGCTCTGCTGATCGCTAAAACAGAGTGTTGTGATAGCTTTGTGGTTGAATAAGGCACCATTTAATAAGACGAAAACACACTTATTAATAATAACATTTAAAGCATGATATTAAACTCAGAGCCGTACATTGCTCCTACAGCATAGCAAAAATCGAAAATCTTCGTCTCCCGAGGCTAACATGAAACACCTAAAATACAGTAACCCTCTTTGGAGAAGAGGCTACACGCACCAAGCGTGCTTTGTTGATCACAAAACAGTCGCCAGATACTACAATAGCTTTTTGTATTCATAAACTAAAACTAAATACTTAATAGGTAAATAAAAAGTTGACCACATTGCCTCGATACTATGAAATCCCTCCCCCAGTTAAAAGTGCCTGCTTTAGAGGGTTTCCATAGTTTCAACTGGCACTATAACTGTGGCAGCTGAATTCTCCATACAGACATTTATCACTGTTCCCATACTTAGATGATCTAACACCAGGTAATATTCTCAGAATATCTCCCTCATTCATGTCTTTTGAGCATATTCTGGAAGAAGTTTTGGATTCACTGCATGTGGTAACATGACCATTAAGTGCTTATTCTTCTATCCCTTTTATTTCAAGGTCATACTTTCATAAAATAAGGCAAAGTGTAGCAAAAAGATCCAAGAAAATGTTTTATTCAATGCTGGCATATTTGTTAATAACACCAGCTTTGAAAAGTTGGAAAACAACCAATTAGGCAACCCGAAACTTTTGTACTGAGGTAGCCAATTCTTCCTTGTTTGCAGTTCCAGTTTGCAAAAGTTCCATTACAATCTGCATGATTTCAATTCCATATTTATCTAAAATGCTACATTGAGAATGGCAAAAGTGTGTGTGTGTGTTATTATGGCAAAGCCTCGAGGGCTATCTGCCTAAAGGGAGGGATGCCTTTCGTGGAGGACTTTCTAAGGGAAACTGGCTCGTATACACGTTACACATGGGGAAAACCACGAAAACGCCCATGCAGCCAGCCCGTTCGCGGGATTCGAACCTCGGACCGAACTACCAGTGTTCAGCGACTTTACCGCTCGGCCGCTGGTGGGCCTGAGAATGGCAAAAGAAAAAAAAAGAGAAATTTAAAACCAAATAAAGGACAATTATCATATGTAAATCATATGCAAGCTAGTACTGCATCTATTTTTTCTAATGAAATTTTAAATCATTAGAACTTTTTTCAGGCATGGTGTGCACAAATCTGGTTTTCAACTATTCAGTCCTCGGTTTCAGTCTAACAATACAATAAGTACAAAAAAAAAAAAAAAAAGAGAGAGAGAGAGAGAAAGAAAGAAAAAGAAAAAAAAGAAAAGAAAAGAAAGTTTTCAGATTTTTCATTACGCCCAAAGGGGCTTTTTTTAAGGTTTTGTGGGTTACCTTTATTTATTAAATATCATGTTCTTCGCACTTAAACCATAAAATTAAGTTCAACAGCAATTTCGCAAAAGAATTTTAAAATGAGCATATCTTTAGCATTCCGATATACAGTCTTATGCACTGGAGATAAAAATGCCCCCCGGTGCAGTGTTGCCATGGCTCGCTTTGAAATCGTTGAGTTTGTTAATATAAAATTCATTAAAGTTTTACAAAATGTGAAATAGATAATAAAATAAATTCCAAATTTGGGCTTTGAGATGCCCATATTCAGGTGGAAATGTACGTTATTCAAAATTGGATGGCTCTAGGTACCATTATTTTATCACAATGCGAGAAACATACATACACCTGTTCAGATTCTTCATTATTTAATTTCTTTAAATAAAACACAAGGCTGTAAAATTTGTAGCAACAGTTTGAAAAGTGAACCCACAAATGCAAAATGCCAAAATGAAATTAACAGCCCTTCAGAGCTAACGCCCTTTGGGCTAAAAATATCAAAGTAGATACAGCATCCCATGAAATTAAAAGTGACTGAGCAGTAACAGATTAATAAAATAAATATTTAACATTATGAAGATCATTTTATTAATTCTGTGCTCAAAAACTTTAATTCTGGCTAATTTTCAAAACTGTATATTAGTAATACGTTTCCCTTCCAAAGACTAAAGAAAATTGAAAAATATTCTTTTTCTATATGTGTTAAATTAAAAACAGTAATGTAAGGAAAAGCAATAATTTCCATAAATTCTGAAAAGGAAATATATAATTACCATCTTCTGTAAATGCTAAACTAAGAAAAGAAGGCACAAGAAAAGACAAAGTGCTGCTTGAGTGATTGATTTTACGACATTTGCGGCTAAACCAACCATCTTGAGCCTAAAAAACAAAAGATTTCCTTAATTTCTTTAACGATAATTTATTATCGAACAAATTTTTATATATTATTTTAGGCATAAAACTAATAACATTAATCATACACAAAAAATGTACTATTATAAATTTAAAAATGTACTAAATTTAAATCTCTTTTTGAGGAGACAAGAAGCTCATTTCAGTCCACTTCTAATACTAGAAAGAAAATATATTTATCCACATTATCATTATTACAGTTTCTATTTAAGACAAAGTTTCATATTCTACACTGAATTCAATGACATAAAAAATGGTAAGAATCATCAGTTTAAAAACCAGGATTTTCTAACTGCGTTTGAGATTGAAATAAAATTTAGACAAGCTGTATTTTTAATTAAATATAATCAGAAATAAATGAAAATGATGTATTTTGTTTCTGATTATATTTAATAGTATAATGCCTGGATTCAACTGAGATTTTTGACAATGGTAAAGTACACTAGGGCTATCTCCCTAAAGAGAGATGATATTGTGAGGTATGTTTCAAGGAAAAAAAGATGATATCAATTAGAAAATTTTCTACTACATTATACTTATGACAAATCTATGAGAGCTACTCAGATATTTTTCTGTGTTTCATTCTGATATTCAATTTAATATTTTGATGATTGGTTGATATTTAAACCAGACATGAGGGGAAAAAAAATCATGAAAATAGCAAACTTAACTACCAGAACAGAACCCGAAACAAATTACCAATGTTTTGAAATTTAATCACTGATTCTCTGGTCAATTGTCCACATTTAAGAAAATAACAAATATAAAATAAAATCAGGCACTTGAACTCTTGAAGATAAACCAAAAAGACTTTTAATTCTAAATATTAAATACTTCTAGAATATACTTTATAAATTGATAAAAATGTTCATTACAATAATTAAAGAATTTAGCAATTAAAAAATACAGAAAATACTTGTAGCAATCTTTTCCTGGAATTTTATAAAAATGAATCGAGAAAGACTAAAGAGTAATGAAAACAGTGACACTGTGCAACAGAATTATGCATTTTATCCATCTTAGAATATATTACCAAAATACTTTTCTGCAATATAGAAAAGTGCAGCAAATTTGTCATTCAGATCTTAGTTAAATATTTGCTTTGTATATATAATACAATAATTTAAATATAAGTTTGTGATTATGTAGCCTCAGATTGCCTATAAATGGCAGTAGTGTTTATTTGTAAAAAAAAAAAGTGAGATCATAATTATGTATATGTAGTAGTTTGTCTTTGGTGTTCATGAATAAATGTTCTGTAGAATAATAATCTATGTTTATTACTTTAAATTCGACCTAGTCTGAATTATTCGTTTTATTTAAACAAATGCCAGACATCTGGCCACTAAGCCATTAGTCTTGGCCTTGCTTCCCAATACTTAATAGAATTAAAATATAATAGGTGCAGTGCCTTCGTAAATATGCTCCTTATTCATGGACTGCCCAGTGTTACAAAGAGTACAGAGTGAAGAGTCCTGAAGTCGAATTTTAAAAAGATGGGCATTCAGACAATTGTGGCCAGTCAAAAGATGAAATAACGAAATGGCTACGGGATAAGGAAAATCTGGAATAACTGGCTTTGAACTAATGAAACGCTTCCAGGTCTTTCTTTCCCTTAGCATCATTTGATAGGCAGGAGGAAAACCTCCTCTTAAATTCTAATTTAATTAGGAGTTTTCCAGAATTTAAAGTTGTATGGTTATTAGCGGTTTGTAGAACAGCCATTCCTTTCCTTGACAGGAAATTGGCTCTTTCATTTCCCTCACTGCCACAATGAGCAGGAATCCACTCCAAGACAAAAGAGTCAGTCAATTAAGTCACAGTGTTGCTTCACTTCCTTGTTCTTTTGTCTGATTTATTAAAAACTTATACACTGCTCAACATTGAAAATGCAACACCAAAAAGGCGTGGTCAGAAATTTATGAAAATTTTAGAGAAGATGCACGTCACTGAGTTATGCAAATGATGTGAAATGTGCAGCTCTCCGACACACGTGAAGTAAGATATAAGAGAAGGAACATGCAGAATAAGCAATATTCATGTCGTTATTTCTGCCAGACAAATTATCGAAGAAAGTTGGTTTTTGTCCCGGAGGATACGAGTAATAGGACAGAATGCCAGGCCGCCGTCAACAAAGGCACTTCCAGCAGATAGGCGATTTTACGAGGTGTATGGTGATCGGACTGAGAAGGGCGGGTTGGTCCTTACATCAAAACCGCAGCTGATACCCACATGGACGCGAGCATGTTGCATCGGCTATAGCGAACATGATTGGAACAAGGAAATGTGGGAAGAAGGAGGGGTGCAGATGCAGCCAGAATGACGTCAGCACGCGTGGATCGACGCATCTGCCGACAGCTGTGGTGGTCCCACAAGTCACTTGTACCGCGATTCTCCAGCGCTCCCGTGTTGACCAGAACCATTTCCCGTCGATTGGTTGAATGTGGCCTGCACTCACGGCGTCCATTAAGTAGACTGCCATTGATCCCACAGCAAATACACCAGTTTAGAATGGTGCCGGACTGGAGCAATGTGGATGACAGAATGTGAAATGTCGTGTTCTCAGATGAGTCGCACTTCTGTTTATCCAGTAACAGTCGCCGCATACGTGTGTGGCAAACTTATATTCATCACCCTGCTGTCATATGTGAAGATCATAATTCAACAAAACTTTGCATTATTTATGATGCTTCTTCAGAGGGTAGGGAATAATGAATCTCTAAATGATAATTTACTTCAAGGACCAACTCTTCTTCCTGAACTTGTGAAAGTTTTAATAAATTTTCAACTTTATCAAATTGCATTTACATCAGACATTCAGAAGGCATTTTTCCAAATGTCTACTGCTTTTGAAGATCGGGATTCAATGCGATTTTTGTGGACTGATGAGAATTCAAGTTTGAGCTATACGAGAATTCAAGTTTATCAGAGGTGTCATGTAATTTTTGAGCAAAATCAAGTCCATTTTTGCTGAGCGCTTGCACTAAGCATCATTTAAAGAAATTTGAAAATATCTAACCAGAACTGTAGAAATATTAGAAAACTTCATGCATGCTTTATTTGTGGATCAGATATAGAGTAGGAAACTTTATAAATATATCATGAAGCTAATGATGTAATGAAAAAGGTATCAATGAATCTAACCAAATGGAATTCTAATTCAGATACTTTAAAGAACTAGTATAAATCAAATAACAGCTTCATCAATTTTAAATTGCCAGACTGCGATTCCCCCTCAAAGATTCTTGGACTTCAAAGGATATCTTCTGTTTTAATCCTCAAGACATTATAGATTTAATCCTGTCACATGATCAAACAAAGCGTTACATTTTGATCTTCGATCCTGCTGGGTTTCTCGTTCCATACGTGATTCAAGCAAAAATTCTATTTCAATATTTATGGCTTAAAGGCATGGATTGCAATGAAATTAACCCACCAGAATCGCAAGACATATGGAGCAAATGCTATAGGCAACTATATGATCTACTAAATATACGAATACCTCGTTGATATTTTTGTGATGCTGGTAAAATGCCTGAAATGTTAGAACTACATCGTATTTGCATTTCATCTCAAAGCGGTAACACAGCAGTAGTATACATAAAATTCCGCAGCTCAAAATGTTCTTGAGCAAGTTTAATGATAGCCAAGAGCAGAGTGGCTCCTTTCAAAAAATTATTTTTACCAATACTAGAACTCATAGCAGCAGCATTAAGTGCAAGCTACAGATCGTGCGCATTTTCAAGCGAAGATTTATTTATGCACTGATTCTCTCAATGTGCTTCAATGGATAAAGAACTCACCACAGCTATGGAAAACATTTGTACAAAATTGCATATCAGAAATTCAAGATAAAACATCACCGAGCATGTAGTATCATTGTCCTGAATCAGATAATTCTGCTGACAAAATCGCACGTGATGTTAAAGTGAGTGAGCTTGTAGTAGATTGAGTGTGGTGGCATAGAACTCCATGGCTACATAAAGATGAAATAAATTGGCCTAAAATGAACAAGCATTCTAACATAGTAGATGCTGTTGAAGAGAGAGAGTTATGACTCAAATTACCAGCGGTGTTCAACCTTTACAACCTGTGTTAATGATAGAGAACTTTGGTGACTTAAATAAACTTTTAAGAATCATGTCATACATATTTAGATTTAAAAATAAGTCACAAAACAGAGCAATTGGTCCTATGACCAAAAATTAAATATGTAATGATTTGTGTTACTTTATTAAGTTATCACACAAAGTGGGTATTTTTTTGCAGAACTTAATGATGTTGTATTTAAAAAAATGTATCAAAATTCCAAATTGCTTAGGTTAAATATAATAACTGATGAAACAGAATGTTTAAGAGATTGAAGTAGATTAGTAAAATCATTGTTAAATGTGGATGAAATTCAACCTCAAATATTACCAAATAATTATTTTTTCATTTAATTATTTTAAGCTGTAATGAAAGGTACTTCACAGTGGTGTAAATGAAACTTTAGTGAAAGTGAGAGAGAAATTCTGGATTTTAAAAGCTTTTTAAAAACATAAAATCTATGTTATATGACTGTAGAGTTTGTAAAAAATATAATGCTAAAGCTGGACATAAGATATCAGCTCCTCTTCCTGCTGACCAAGTGGAGAAAGCTCAACCTTTTGAGGTAAGTGGGATAGATTTTGCTAAACCTTTGTATTTAGAAGATGGTACAAAAGTGTATATTTCATTGTTTACTTGCACAATGACTTGAGAAATCTATTTAAAATCATTATCAAATTTAAGTACAGAGTGTTTCATTCAAGCATTGCTTAAACTTTTTACATGTAGAGCTATTTGTAGAGTTATTTCTGACAATGCTAAGACCTTTAAAGCTGCTGATTGTTAATTAAAGTATTCATATAAATTGTGTACAAATAATAAAGGTTCCAAATTTCCTTGAAGGAAAAAATGGCTTTGAATGGAAATTTATTGTGGAAGGTGCTTCTTTGGTGGGGTGGATTTTGGAAATGTTTAGTAAGATCTGTAAAAATTTGTTTAAAACATATCTTATGAAGAATTGTATAACATTTTAGTTGAAGCTGTTATCAATTCTAGACCCATAACCTATGCATACAATAAACCAAATGAGCCTGATCCTCTTTCACCATCTCATTTTATTGCTGGATATAGATTGACTGTTTTACCTTCACCTGAATCTAAATTAGAATCCACAAGATCTCAGTTGATTAAAAGATGGAACCATAGCTCAATTATTATTAGAGCATTTTTTGGAAAAGAATATTTTTTAGAATTATGATCAGTCATGTTTTCAAAACTCCAAAAAATTGGATTTTTAAAGGCAGCAGAATATTCTTTTATTAGATATTGTTAAAAATTTATCACTATTAATTGCATAATTTTCACAGCAATGCTTTCATTTACTGCCATATATTAACCACTGTAATGGAAGTACTAGCCAAACCAAGAAAGTGAAGTGGAACAAAGAGAGCAGTTAAAGCACAGTAAATCTGACTGCAACTCCTGACTACTTTTCAATATCTTATTCATTTTGGCTTCATTCTAAAATTAACATAAGTCTGATTCATTACAAACACAATAATTATAAAACAAGGACTGATATATTTCAGTAACTAAATGTCTGAAAATGTTTGTTCTTTTCCATTTCGCTAATCACAAATGGGTTAATGGATGCCATTTAGTGCCAAAACACAAATGTGCTAATGTCAAATCTAACTAGATGGTGACAACCCTACTGATACATAAAGCTTCAAGAAGAGAATAACTATTTTAAATATAATGAATATAATATATATAATACTTAATGTGTGCAATGCCAAGACTGTGTATGATGGCAAATTTTTCAATTCTCTGATATTTCTGCTTAACCCTTTCGCAACGGAGCACCTTTGTTTAAGACGCTCGTATGGGATGGAAGGGAATCGAAGGCAGTCATCATACAGGATGGAGGTTTTGCATTGCTAAGCCTAATTTTATTAAAAAAAATCAGAAAAAAAGTTTCACCTCTAGCATCATAATTTTTGGTATCATTTTAGATTATTACTTGTCTTTTAATACGTCACCACTTAATTTGTATGGTGGCATTTTGATATTCATGCTATACTTTCACCAAAGCAACATGTAGACAGTTCATAAATTGCAGAGTTTCTGAAATACTGTCACCTTTGGCCTGAAAGCTATAATAAGACTGATGAATTTGCCCCATTTATTCAGGACAGCAGAATTGCTCTAATGCCTAAAATACACTTAATGCTTACAATATATACTCATCAAATATGCTATTGACACATGCTTTATTTTATGTTGGCATATAATGTGGTCACATTAATGTGACTTATTCTATGTACGTGAAACACAAAGGATGAACTAAAAGAAAATCTGTACTTTTTTTTTTTTTAATTTCCCTTTTTAAAACAGTTCATAAATTTTTAATTTTTTGATATTCTTCATCAAATTAAAAGGTAGAATTTATAAATTATCTCACTTGATATGCAAATTCATAAATTGCTCCATCTTTGCCTCCAAGAAATATACGACCACTTTCAGTTCCATGAAAAGCACACATATGAATATCATCAGTTGGATAAGAAAACAGAGGTTCTGGCAACAAATGCATCTCTTCAAACTGTGATGAATCTGCAATGAATATTTTTGTTTAAAACCATAAATAAAAAGCATAATTAAGCAAACACAAAATTAATAATGAAAATTATTGAGAGTTATATTTCAGTATTAAAACACTTATTTTTTTTCCTGAAAATTTATAGCAATGATTTCCAAAGATGGGTTCGAAGTCAATTTTTAGTGGTTCATAAAAAAATTTTGAAGCCCTTTTTTTTTTCATTCTATAATTATATTTGTTTACCTGTAATTATGAATTAATTTGTAGAGAATAATTAATTTCTAATATGTTCACCTGATAATTACATGGCCTTTTTTTCCCCTTCTGGGACTCTCTTCTCTCTCTCTTTACACTTAAGATAACTACTTATTAGTTGTATTACATAAAAAAAAATGCATAAAAGCCATGATAAATTGTAACTACAAACATGCTGCACGGATGGTTACATTAAATTGTCTACTGGTTAGCAATGAACTCCCTTGGGTCATCAAGCAAAAGGTTTGGGAAAACAAAACTTAACAATATTCAAGATTCTTTTCATATATTGTCTTGATCTTAAAGCTCCTATTTTCTTCCACAAAATAAGCAAACAAAAATTTATTTTTATCCTGCCTTCGATTCTACGGCTAATAATAACTTTGGACAATAATAAACTCCCCCCTTTTTTTAACTAAAATTATTATTAAGATGATTATGATTTATATCGAATTACTAGCAAACATTAAGAAGTTTGTTTCATGTTTTAGTTTGAATATTTACAGCAACATACACAAACACCTATTGCAAACACTGATATTAAAAAAAAAAAAAAAAAAATTATGCTGATGAAATCATACTTTCATTTTGTCTGGTAAAGTTGACTCCTAGGACTATTATTTCAACAGGTGTAGTTAAACATAATAAGTAGTGAATGAAGCTTTGAAAAATATCTAAAAATTAGAAAGAATTTCCATTAAAAACAAGAATTAATAGATATTTCAAAAGAGCATCATGAAATATTTACATGATTTATTTTACAAATAACTGACACAAATAATATTTTTTTTTTAATTATTTAAGACTGAGTAACTGAATATACACTGCCCAGTTTTAAACTGAAAATTTTAAGGAATAAACTTATGCATAAAAAGTAAACATAATAATAATATATAATCCATTTTAACAAACATTTCCTGAACAATTCTCAAACCAGTACAGAAAACAACATAGCCAATATCATAATCCCCCCCACACACACTCGGCATGCACATTCTGGTAGAATAATTTTTCTAGATAAAAAGCATTTTAATGAAGATAACTAATCTTAATTTTGAAAATTAGAGTGACTGTTCATTAATTAATAGAAATACTTTGTATGATTTTACTTGATCTGGTAATGTTTATTATTCCAATAAGTCTAACACACATAAAACAAATTATTGCTATGTATGAAGTAACTATTAAGTCATGAGAAGGTTTAAATAACCTTTTTATTTAAACAGAATTTAGAAAATATATGCACTCTTTCGTGCAACAATATTAGCCCCAACTACAATGAAATAGAATAGTCAAATTTAAATCAAACATGGAACAATACTCAAAGCCAAACACAATTAAATATTTCTGTATAAGTCGACTCAATAACTCTACCAGAACATCAAAACCAAACTGTCAGCAATGAGAGAATGTAAATCCAAATAATTACAAATATTAGTACTGGTAAGTAACTAACATGTAACGTGCATGCAAAGCCAGAAACACAAGTTGGTAATCAAACATATATAATTCTCACAATGTTGTAATTTTTTTTTAGAATAAGAGATAATATAAGAAAAAGACTTATTATCACATAATTGTACATTAAAAAAATTACCTGGCTTGGGTTTTACAAGACCCACACATAAAATAGTTTCTTTAAGACCATCATAATAAGCCAGGTCACTTCTAAAAAAAAAATTTTTAATACATATTAATTTTTACTTTTAAAAAAGTAGAAACAAAATTATATAAAACTTTTGAATACTCAGTTATGACTTTTTTTTTTTAAATTCTAGCAAAAAATAAAATATAATAAAATGTATGCTTAACTTGTATACAAAGAAAAGTATTGTTCTTCCCATGTACATAGCAATCTATTTTCACTTAAAAAAACATCAAGAGAATTGCACAAATTTGGTGTCGTACACAGCTTCAACATTGTGCATCTTAAATAATATATACATTATATTATATGACAGATTATTATTATTATTACAAGTTCATTTTTTCATTAAGCTTTATGAATCATTACAGATGCCATCATCCAGCTAGATTTATTGCCAACATTTATGTTTTGTATTAAATGACACCCCATTAACAGAAATATACCCATTTTATAATTCTACTAGTGCCTTACTAATTATTACAAGCAACAGTTTCCTAATTAAATAGGAATACCTTTACTTTGGGATAAATCACTTAAAATATAAATAAAAAGCTAAATTTGAAAATTAAGTTATTAATTTACTATAATCAATGTGTTAATGAATATCAAATCAAGACTTTCAAATGATCCTCATGTATCAATAATCTGATATATGCAGGAACCAGTTCACAATTCTTAGATCTAAGATAGAAGATAAATTAAAACTCTTGCATATTAACTGCTATTAAAAATTTTGATAGGTGACACCATATGATGATAATTTCCCAATAAATGTCTAAGTCCTTGTTGAAAGCACAGATTTACCTGCTCAGGCTTATTCTAACTTTGTTATGGTCTGCATTTGATATTTGTTTAATGTTTCTAGTATTTGTAACATAAAAAAAATGGCAAGTAGTGGCCTAGAATCACTAAAGGAAATGTGCTAAGTAAATACAAAAATTAAAATTATATGATAATAAGAATAAAAGCAAGAAACTGATTCAAAGGAAGCTAGATTGCATTTACAACAACCAGTTTATTTATTACTGGAACAAGAAATTAATAATAGTCTTTTGGGGTCAGGAGTTAATAATTATAATTTGCTAATAATTGAACATGGCATTAAAACTGTCATAGTTTGGAATAGTTATCTCCAAGAAGATTTGGAACAACTATTATTATTATTATTATTAGAAATCTGCATTATCAAAATAAATAGGGAACCAAAATTCCCAGTATCCAAAATGTCATCCAAAGTTTCCAGCATTAATTTCACCATTTAAATTTCGCTAATGTCAACCAAGCAATCCTAGTTAAGTCTCTTCATTCCAGAGGTCTTTCCAAATCCTCAAATTTTTCTTTTCCTTGCTTTCATGAGCAAAAAGCAGGTTATGAGAATTTATAGCATGACTGAGAGGTGCCTAAATCCTGGATTCCGAGGCAATGAAGACTAATGAAGTTTCTTGTAGTAATTAATATGCAATACAGTCAAAAGTCGTTAATCCGGACTCGTCGGGACTTCGGCGATTCGGGATTATTGAATTTTCTGGATTATAGATCATCAGTTTAAATCTCGTAAGATGGCATGCAGAAATTCTAAAATTAAAAATATGAAACCGTAATTTATGAAATAAAGAACAATTATGATCTAAAGGGTATCAAAATGTACAAAAAAAAAGCTTAATATTTATTTGTTTACTTTATTAAACATTTCTTTCAATGTAAGTTGTTTAAGTTGCTTCGTTTTATGTGATAATATTTTCTCTTTAATTCTATAAACAGACATAATTTCTTGTTCAGTTACAAAGTTCCGCTGTTCAAGTCCCGTTAATTGCTGTGCCGAGAATACAGTCAATCGAAATTTTTTCATTTTCACTAACCTCTCTGTAAGTTCTTCATGTCTTTATCCATTTTTTGCAGCAATTCCACTTTTGTTTGATGGACATCGAAACATACTTTCGTTTTGTACGATCCTTTGGGAGCTAAAGAATCGGAAATTCTATTTGACATAATCGAAAGTTTAAGTTTACTTTTATAGTATTGCTCTTACAGTCTGCAAAAAATAAGCCGGATCCAATTCTAAGATTAAGGAACAACGCAATCATCAACATTAACTGAAATAGATAATTAGATAATTTTAGATTATACCGTCCGTTATACATAAAACGCGCACACGAAAACGTATTCTGCGCTTGCGCACATGCATATGCGCAGTCGTAAAAGGTCTTACGTGCACGCGTAAACGCCTATGCACATGTGTCAACGTGGCGCATGCACAGAAAGTTTTTAGCTTTGAGGTCCGGATTATGGGTGTCCGAATTAACGACTTTTGACGGTATTCAATTTAATAGTAAAAAAATCAAAACTCCGACTTTCCTATTAAAAAACAACTGGCTTCAATACTCTTCTGTTTCCAGGACCAGATTATGAAATGTATGTATAAATATATGTATTTGTGTATGCTTGTATACATGTAGGTATGCATGTATGTGCATGCATACGCAGACACATATACATTCGTACACACGTGCTACATACATACATACATACTTCTCTGAATCCAGTCCCTATAACAGAAGAGTACCCTGGCTTTTACCACATATTTTTGAAAAGTTCATTTTAATTTATAAAATAACATGTAATTGATAGAAAAATTAACTTACCCATCATGAAAAGACCAAAGAAATATATTGCTGTCAATTGTTAGCCATGCCCGGCCAACCTCTGGAAATAGTCCCATCTGACAATTGCTCTGCATAACTGATATCATTAAAGATTCAATCACTTACTTCCTACACATAGTTTGTTTAAAAATTAAACACATCAAATTTATCATCATTTTAAAAGCGCACTTAAGTTGTTACCAGCATTCAGAAAAGAATTTATAAATGGTTAGATAATATTTATTAAATATGAAAAAATTAAAATCTTTTTAATTTAAAAGAACCATTTTCATGTACAAAATGTTCCAACACATAATTTTGCATCAAATACATAATATAATCTTTATATCTCTAATGTTTCAAGGAATGAACGGTAATATATTTAATTCTATAAAGTAAGAGGTTCTTTACTATAAATCAAATAAAAAAATTTTTCATAATTGTGGTACCTTGCATTACAAGCACAGTCTATTTTGTGATGGTGCTTGTGGTGTGAATTATACTTTACACAGGATGCTCTTTTCCGTACTATGAGAATAATTTTAATTTATTCTTGACCATAGCCAAAATCATAAAAGATTGTAAGCAATTTTCAAATAATATTGAAAAATCACAATTCTACTGAAAAAATATTGACTAATTATTAAAAATACTGGTACTTTCTTATTACAGCAACTACCAAGCTTAGTCACAAAACTGACAAATTTTATCACTCAATCTATTACATGCAAATTTCAAAAATCACCAAAAATTTACATAGTGGCTGCTTTAACAAGGAAATATTACAATATTTGCCAATGCTATATATGTAAATAATCATGCAGTTTTCTGTTTCAGTTTAATCTATCTTCCCAGTTTTCCACTGAATATGATAGGATCAGCAGGCTTTTGTTTCCTTGCATATTTACCTTTGATTTTTATAGGAGGACTAAGTGGGCTTTAAGTCTTCCAGGTTCTAAAAGTATTATTTCTTCCCTCTAAGCAGGTGATATTGCTACAAATCTACAAATTTATTATTACCAAAAAAGGATACGGCCAAACTGCTCAACTAGTTCAGATGGCAATGGAATTCGTTTCAGCAAATTCAGCTGTGCTAGTGAATGAAGACTTATACTCAGTTCAGATACCCCAGGATAATCTTGGTCATTTAAACCACTCACTGTTGGCAGAGTAGCTGTAAAGATTAAAATTCTTACAATGACCTTTTTTTTTTTTTTTTTTCTCATAATAATCAATTTTGTATTAATAGTTTGGTTAATTTTATTTATGCATATCATGCTAAAATATATTACACATACAAATTTAATTTCCAGTATTATTCAATATAATTAAAATCAGAAGCATACATTCATATTTTTTAGTTTCCAGATGATACAATCAGAAATTAAATGCTTCAAAATGCCTTTAAGATGCTTGTTATATCTGCACCAAATTTTCAAGTAAACATGTGCTCAAATGCAGTGTCTTGTTCAAAATAATTTTTCAATGAAATGCAACTAAGATTGCTTTTCTAAACAACATAAACTTACTACCATGAGAAAGGAACCAATAAAAAATTAATAGTTGATATATTTGTGATCTGCTGATGCTTCACTAAAATATTTTTGTCAGTTCATATTAACTACCAAGAATGCATGGCAAAATGACACACATGAGAATATGCATTGGGAATCTCATCTTAGACTAGTGGTTCTCAAACTTTTGACTAACAAAAACTATATAAACAAAAATTGAAAACCTTTAATACCACCACTACAAAGTACTACTACCACCACCACTCTTGAACAAAGCTCAGATCTCATAAATTGACGAGTGTTAGAGTAAAAACTCAATCAGGATATATGGGTTTGAATTTTTGAATTTAATAGTTAAAAATACTTTGCTTACCACCTATTTTTCTCTTGCGTACCACCGGTTAAGAACCCCTGTCTTAGACACTTTTAACTAACTGTATATTACTTTTTTAGGGTTCGTACACATTTCTGCACATGGAAATTAAGTACTTTTAAGGTCCATTAATAAAACAAATTAAGGACCTATGAGCAAAATGGGAGCTGAATTAATTCAGTTAAAAATATTAGTCTAACTTCACTTTTGTACACTAAACTGTAGTCTAAACTTCACTTTTGTAATACCATCCAAAAAATAAAATAGATCCGTAATTAGGATGCATTATTATAAAACATAACTTAATTAACATAATTACTGGTAAGTTTGAAAATAAAATAAAATTTATGAAATTTATCAAATAGCATTCAATATTTTACACTTATAATAGTTGTGCAAATTTGAAATAAGATAAATGACATTTTATTTTACATTTTACTAACAGTTAGTTTTATTTTGATTTTGTTTGTCTCGTTTTGTCACATTTTTGCTCAATCTAGAGGTTTAGTAAATAGCAGGTAAATTTTTATGTCAAGCGGCATAGGTGAAAATCAGAAGTAAAATTATAATCAGTATGATTCATAACAAAAGACTGCCTGTTGTCACCCCTGCTGCTTGCATAGAGAGAGACCTGCTGATCAGAACAAGCCTGAAAGGCCTGATGGAGACCCGGCTGGCAAGTTTTGACAGTTAGTTGGTCTCTCTCTGACACAGTTAATGTCGTAGCTTCGTGTAGAGTTCCAGGGGCTGCAACCCAGTTAACTTTAAGGTTCTCCAATAAGCCACTAAAGAACCAAAGGTAATAAGTTGTTCTGTTTTATTTTAAGTCTCACTACATGCGAAGAATAAGTTTTACATCAATTTTTACATTTTTGTGTTTGATCTTGTGACCACGGCAAGGATTAATGAAAGGCAATAACTCGTTTTAATGTGCAGAGATAAATTTTGAGAGTAAGCAGTTATTTATAAATAGCTCAATTAAGTAGTTAGATAACCTTAGTCATTATGGATTTACATGGCCACTAATAACATTTATTTATTTCTTAACAATATTTCTTAAAAAAGCAGTATCACAATTTAAAATACATGTAATTTATGACATTGATTCTTAAACTATATTAGGACAATTACTTATTAAAAGCCACAAAACATTTATGTTTTGTAGTAACACCACTCAACAAAATATTTATGCATCTTTTAAATTTGAAGAGAGACATTTGGGTCTTCTCAGACAGTTTGGCTAATTTATTATTTCCTTCTCTTCAAGCACCTTTTCTAACAATCAGATATTTGTTTCAATACGCAAACCACTGTTCTCGCTAGTTTCTGCGTGCTTCATACCTATGAGGGTTCACTTCATCTGGTAGCAGTTAAATAGTCCAAACAACCCCCACCCCGAAAGATATGAAGCAAATTATTGCTATGTCTGAAAGTAACTACAAAGTCAAAGGTTTAAATAAGCCTCTTAATTTTTTCATTATTAAAAGCCTCACATTTTAAAAAGAACTTAGAACAGGCATGTTCTTATGCTAACAAAATCAATTGCAGCTTGTGGTGATGTAATTAAACAAGAACAGTCAAATTCAAACTAGAAATGTGGACTAGTGGTAACTCTATCGTCATAACAAATTCAAATGTCGGCAGCAATAATACAAAGACAAATAATTACAAATTATCGGAGCTGGCAGGAACTAATACACCGAGCAAGTGGAGGTCAGAAACAAATACACACTGTCTTACACTCCAAAAACCTCAGCTTAAAATTTGTCTAAATGATTTGCATTCTGATGAGGAAACAGAAATTGGAAATTATAGTAAAGACAGAAATTATATACAATTGGGTAATTTACATAATAATAACTGTATATATCTTTGAAGAATAATTTGTTTCTCATTATGTATTCAGTTTCTTTCTTCAACACATTTTCTTTTCATTTTAGAACTTTTGGATTTAATTAAAGATTTCTTTTATTCTAAAAACATTAAATCATTTAGAATGTATAGAAAAAGTTGCTAATTTTATTTCTCTAGTAATATGAAATACAGTCAAAAGTCGTTAATTCGGACACCCATAATCCGGCCTCAAAGGTATTATCATTCTGCGCATGCGCCGCGTTAACGCATGCGCATAGGCGTTTTTGATGCTAAAGCAAAGTTTAAAGAAATTAAACATTTAGCAGTAGTAGCAATAAAAGCTCCCTGAGATATGTTGTGCAGGCATTGAAGACAATAAAAGATTTTGAACTTAACCAATTTATTAACAATATAATAAAGAATAAAAACACAGAAAATAAATGTCAACAATATCAGTCTTAGGAAAAATATAATATAATCATCATTCATCAAACAATATTTTTACCTGGTCTCCAAAACACTGGCATTCTATATAAAAAAAAAAGTCCTAAACAGTAATTATGCGGCCTAAAATTGAAGCTGGCTACACACATTCAAAACGTCCCTGATCAATGGATCAAGAAAACACCTGAAAATTTAAATGAAGTTCTTGAAAGCACTTAAAACAGGCCTAACCCCGTTTGCACAAGGAATCGCCGCTCATGTATTTTAATTCCGCCTTCATTGAAGAACATGGATGCCGCCCACGGCAGTCACTCACATGGTAGCCTCTGGAACCGAAGAACTTTATTCTGGAACAGCCATCCCGCAAACTGGAACCAAGGCACTTTATTCACCGGACTGCATGCATCCTTTTGAAGGGGCTGGAAACCGCTCACTCACGTGCCAGGAAAACAGGAACTAGAAGGGTTGAGCCAGAGCGACGCGAGATACTTATAGCAGAAGTAGGAATGACATCATCTCACGGCAAACAATCAGCTATCGGCACGAATCGGCTTTTCAGATGACGTAACATCATGTTTCGTTTTTGCATCTTAATTAGGTTGAAACAGTCCGTTCTCAATGCAAACAGTGGCAGCAAGAAAAAGAAGTAGAAGTAACTACTATATTACATTAAAATAAGGACTAAACTAAATAAACATTTCAAGGAGGAGAGATGATGCAGTAAAAGGTTTAAAAATAAGCTATATTTTCCAACAAAAACTCACCCCCAGGGGAAAATGGCGCTGTATACAATATTGTTAAATGAAATAAGACACGAAAACATCTGTTTAAAATGTGTTTAATATTTTCCGAAGCGTGTTACAAAGCATGTTCAATGTAGCGTCCAGCATTTTCCGAAAGCAAGTTAAATCCTGTTACTGCATTCTCAACAGCAGCTCTTAGCATATCAGGAGGAATGTTATGGACATGTCAGTGTATCACATTTTTCATTTCTGCCAAATTGTTTAGATTATCACCATAAACTGTGCTTTTGAGATAACCCCATAGCCAAAAGTCACAGAGGTTGAGGTCTGGTGGGAAGAGGGGAAGTGTTGGCCTATAAGTCGTTCATTCCTTAAATATTGCCTAAGTAACTTTGCGACACACGTGAGGTGGGGCGAAGCCCTGCATAAAAATCATAGTATCTAAAATGCCACATTACCACATTATGTATCACGAAACATTTTAACCGGGCGGAAGTCGCACCAAGAAAAGTTACTAGAGTGGGCGCGTGGGGTATCACCTACCCCAATATTTAAAATACGATAAAAGTAGTTTTATTTAGTTTTAAAGCTGTTTTTCTTGTTCTTGTGTATTATAAAAACGTGAATAAAAATTGTGTTTCAAAAAATTAATTTCCAAAATAATCTTAGAGTTAAAATTAAGATAAATGAAAATAATGAAAAATAAACATCATGCCTCTAAGTTTCATTGTGTACAATACACAATGCTCATTTTATTTCTTCACACTTTGAACGAAATACATTCTTGTGTTCTTGACACACAATGTTTTCACATTTTAAACATTTCATTCACGTTCTTCTGTCCTTGGCGTGAGGGCAAAAAATGCATCGCATCTTTCAAACTTAGCTGTTTCGAATTTTATGTATTCGTTTTAATTCTTCGTCGAAACTTCTTCTTCTTTTTATTTTCTCTAATAGTATCATCTATAGTATGATCGTTATATAATGTTGAAAGCATAAGAACAGTTTTTCCTTTTTTAGGAACATCAGGAATTAATATTTTAATGTTTTATCTTTTTCGAAACCAAAACAGTGTAGAAAATATTCCTAGTTTACTCTTCAGTTTCCGAAATGCAATGCAGTCTTCATCGCTCTCAAATATTTCTAATAAATCTCACAGGCGTTGCATCTCCAGTACATAGGGAGTCATTCTTTTTACCATAATGCAGTTAAAATTTTTAAGAATTTAATGTCAAGTACTTTAAAA